ACTAAGGCAGTACAATCAAATAACATGTGAAAACCATCAGATATCAACCCTAAACTATTAGTCCATACTCCATATGTTAACTCCACAAAGGTGAACATCTAAGTAAAATAAGTCATAATTTGTCATGGTGATTAGCAGCAGAAATTGCAATAAACACAATCACATGTTAAAATGTATCAAGCAATGAGATTTGGTTCCCCTAGTTTCTTACAATGTGCGTGGGGGTGTGGCGTCAGTACTTGGCGCTACATGTGAAGCAGACAACTACCCACAGAGCATCTATGTACCTAGTAAATGAATGCTTCTTGTGTTATCTGTGGAACAGCTAACGATTACCAATAGTTCCATTAGAAATCTGACAAGTGGTTCTTATTATTTGGTAATTATTATGCAAATTGGTATCCAAAAAGAAGTTCTAGGGATATGTGGAACAGACATACACACATATACACAGACAAGGTAGCCATAAAAATTGGCCACTGAGCAAAACATAAACTATTTTCAACTTACCAAATTGATGCAAAGGAAATAAAATATCTGTCTTGAATCATACTCTGCTAAAACCTGTCTCAAAATGTTTTTACTAACAGTGATGATAGATTGAGAAGTTTTATGTAAGGCATCCCCAGCAAAGCTATATAATGGATGACCACCGGCATCATAACCAATAAAACTGCCTTTAGAGGTACTTTTCGGCAGTGGTGCTGACAGTATACGACACGCTGCAATCAACAACATAACAAGTGCATTTTACACAAATGTCATAATAACATTTGAATTAAATTTATTATTATACATCTGTCACCGTAACATGCCATAATTTTGTGGTATTTTACAAGGTATTATCATCCTACCATATTAGGAAATGCGAATCCCAAATATGGAATGATTACGCGCGTAAGCATCCTCTAATAATAAAAACAAACATGGCTGCCACCAAAGTTTGACCGGACTCCACACAAAGAAGTTTACTGATTCTGTTCTAAACATTAGGAATTTTGGCATTCCCATGGTGTATCCTTGGAAGAAAAAGATGAATGATACTAAGTTATTTTGAGTATACCTCAAAGTATGCACTCAGACAGTACCCATGCATTGACTTCCA